CAGGGAGTTCTGGTAGCATAGTGGTTATAAATTGGGCTGCTTATCTCATGGTCAGCAGTTTGAAACTACCAGCTGTTCTGTGGGAGAAAGATGAGGTGTTCTGCTCCTATAAAGATTTACAGGTTCAGAAACCCTGTACAGGGTCGTTATGAGTCAGAACTCACTCCACGGCACATAACCACCACCTCCACCACCACCACCACCAAGGAGCCCTCCTGGCCCAATGGTGAAGGACTTGGCTGCTAACCAAAAGGTCAGCAGTTGGAAACTACCAGCTAGCTGCTCCATTGGAGAAAGATGTGATAGTTTGTTTCTGGAAAGATTCCGTGTCTTGGTAATCCTTTGGGACACTTATACTTTGTCCCACAGGGTCAGTCAGAGTTGGAATTCAGCTGGAAGACAATGGGAACTACCAACCAGTGAGTTTTTATGATCCCATCGGAAGGATATGTAGCTATGATTGAAAGTCTCTATAATTAATTCCTGAGATCAATCATTGTAAGCATCTGTATTCAATTATTCAATGTTGTCAGGTGCCATCGAGTCAGAACCGACTCATAGCGACCCGATGCACAGCAGAATGAAACAATGTCCGATCCTGGGCCAACCTCACTACCGCTGCCACACTTGAGTCCATCAATGATGCCACCTGGCTAATCCATCTCATTGGGGGTCTTCCTCTTTTTCTCTGACCCTCCACCTTACCCAGCATGATATCCTTCTCCAGCGACTGTTCCCTCCTGACAATATGTCCAAAGTATGAGAGACGAGGTTTAGCCATCTTGGCCTCCAAGGAGCACTCTGGCTGCACTTCTTCCAAAACAGATCTATTGGTTCTTTTGGCAGCCCATGGCACTTTTAGTATTCTGCTCCAACACCATAATTCAAAGGCAAATTATTCAATAGAAACCCATTTTCCACCCCTAGCCCATCCTCCTTGTGACCTCAACCAAAGAGTAACCAATCAAACAACTATAGTATACATTCTTTGTTCCCTGAACTATGTCTGTCTTTGTTAGAAGCTCTTGGAATCACCATTTCTGATTTATATATGTATCAGCCTGGTTTCAACCAGTCTTCAAATGTACCTTTTCCTCTTTTCTTAATAAATCCTATTAATCTCATTTTATGGACTAAGTGGTTTATTTCTACTACATCATTCCAAACATACTTAAAAGTTTTCCATTTAAAGATCAGGTCAGATGGATAATGACAAACTCTTATTGGATCTAGTAACAATAGGGTCATTGTGACCTTCTCAAGAGAAGCATCTATGGAATGGTGAAGGCAGAAGGAAGTGTGGAGTGCTCTGAGGAGTTGGCTGGAGGTGAGTGGACATCTATATGCTTTAGATGGTTCACAGCTGAAAGGTAGTTGTGGAAAGGACAGTTATTTAGGAGGGGCCCCTGGAGGCTAGTTGAGGGATTTGGGGATGGTTGGAAGAGATTTGACCATATTTAAATGATGAAGGAAAGATTCAGTAGAAAAAGTGACATTGAAGATAGGAATCTTCAAACTAATAGGAATATGATCACTAAGAAGGAAAAAGGGTTGGGGCTCAGAACACTATTGGATGATAAAAGACATCTCTTTGGATATAATTATAAGAAATTTGGAGACAATGGAAACCTATCAGAGATATGTGTAGATTTGGCAACTGGATTGTAAAATTGAAATGTAGTTGTTAACCATTTCTCAGTAAAATATCAAACAAGGGAAATTATGTATGTATGAAAAGGAAAGAGTTGAGACATTTTGAAACAGGACTTAGGAAAAAAAAAAATCAAGATGTTATGGAAATAGACCAAAAAAACACAAAACCAAACACACACACAAACCCCTACTCAAATAAGAACAAACAAAGGTTATTCATTCAGAGCTTGCTGTAGCAAGAAAGTCAGACACCATCCCTTAAGTTTGGCAGAGACTCAAAGGCAGGCAGGGAAATGGGAAAGTTATAAACTACAAACAAGGGAAAGCTTCAGATATGTTCTGACAGTAGGTGATGGGCACAGGGAAGTTGGAACTGGGCTAATTACAAACAGCGCATTTTATGTGATAGTTGAGCAGGGTATCATATTTGGTTTTCTCTGGTTGATCTAAAGTTGAAAAGGGCAAAGGTTAAGGAATCTGTCAGTTATCAAGCTCTGGCTGTTTTGAACTCACTCTTACTGGGATTCTTGTTTGGCTTCCTGGACTGGTAGCTGCAGATAATGACTTGACATCCTAGGTTGGTTGTTACAGATAATAGGTCAAAGTTATATTTGTATATGTTCTGGCCATTGGCCATTTGTTCACTTAGTCTCTTAAGTAACTATGCTAAAAAATACAATGAAAATAAAATTTCCAGGCACCATAAATAGTTCCCAGAAGATGCTGATGATTTTTAAAATGTATGTTGTTGTTGTCAGGTGCCATCGAGTCGGAACCGACTCATAGCGACTCCATGCACAGCAGAACGAAACAATGTTCGATCCTGGGCCAACCTC